TCAAACGTGCTCACTCACCCACCTTCCGCTCCCTTTTTCAGACTCCTCCACCTGTCACTGCCGTCTCCTTTCCAAAAAAAACCATGCTTTTTCATCACCACCTCAACCACATCAACTTTCGCGCGTTTTCAAACCTTGCCACAAAACAGCTCCTCCACGGACTTCTAGCCTCACTTCCCTCTCCTACCTCCAACCTAGGGCCACCTTGCCTTGACTGTGCACACAGCAAGCTTCGTGAACAACCCCATTCCCCCACTGAGTCCATCTCAACTGCACCTCTCGATCGCGTGCACATGGACCTTTGTGGTCCAGCTCCTGTTCGTTCTCGTGGCGGACACTTCTACTTTCTTGTCATCATTGATGACTATTCCCGCTATGTGTCTGTCCACCTCCTCTCCTCCAAGTCTGAAGCCTCAGCCGTCATCACTGAATAGGTCAAGCAGGCTCATAAACACTTCAAAACCACCATCAAGGTTCTTCACTCTGACGGTGGCGATGAATTCCAAAACAACACTCTCAAAGCATTCTGTTCCACTAAGGGTATCCGCCAGACCTTCACTCTCCCAGACAGTCCCCAACAGAACGGTGTTGCTGAGAGTCGGAACCGCATCTTAGTGCAGATTGCTCGCTGCCTCCTCACTCACGCCTCCGCCCCTCCCTCTCTTTGGGGGTACGCCATGCTCCACGCTACCGCCCTCCACAATTTCCATCCTCATCCTCATCACATCCACACCACCCTCGCTGAGTTGTGAACGGGTCAAAAGCCATCCGCCCGCCCTCTACGTGTATGGGGGTGCACTTCCTATGGCCTCTTCAACTCCCAAGCCCGTCGTGCAGCTCGTGGAAAACTTGCTCCCAAAACAATCACGTGCGTCTACCTCAGGCATAACTCAGATTCGCCAGACTATCTCTTCCTCCATTCTTCCACCAACAAACTTTACCGCAGCCGGGACGTATTCTTTGATGAGTCTCGCCTATTCTATCCCTCCTCCAAGGCTTCCCCCTCTCCTCCACCTCCTTCTCTTACTTGGGCTGACTTTGACAGTATTCTTCCTCCCTGCGGAGATGACTACTGCAACGGGAGCTAGACTATGGGCTAGGCACGGGTGCTCGTGTGATCTCTGCGTTCCTTGGTCGTTTTCCTAGTGCACACAATGCTTGCTGGTTCACAGGGCAATTTGGCAAGAGTTTCACTAAGGAAATTTGGCAACAATGATAGCAACAACATTGGCATGCAAGACTACATCAAGACCTAGCAAGGCTGCTGGTCGACTTCCAGCGCAGCACGGTCGACCGCGTGCCAGCACGACTTGGTCGACCGCGCTCCAGAAGAGCAAAGTCGCAGCTTGCCAACGTTGCAAGTCCACGATGTGGCAACGCTGCAGCAAGTCAGCTGCACAGCGTTGCACCCGCAGGACAACGATGCACCTTTTTCGCAGGTGCGCGCAGCTGGTTGGTGCACAACTCCTTATCACGTGCACAGCGCAGGCGCCCAGCTCGACTCCACGCCAGCGACTGCGCCCACCAGCCACGCCGACCTCGAGATACCACTTCCGAGGTCGGCCTCGCCAATATCACTTGGGCGACTGTCACGTGCCTCCGCAGAACCTCGTCACCCAGGTAATCCGGTCGACTGGGCAACCACGTCGACCAGCTGCTTCTTTACGTGCCCGTCGACCACCCAAGTCGACGACCACCTCCGGTCGACCTCGCCAGGTCGACCTCACCCTTGGTCGACCAGCTCCAAGTCGACAACCTTCTAGGTCGACCAACTCCAAGCCGACCAGCACAGCAATCAGCCGACCACACCAAGTCGGCTGCCCCAAGTCGGCGTCACCAAGTCGACGCTTTCCACCGGTCGACATCCCGAGTCGACCACCCGAAGGTCAGCGTCCAGGAGTAGGCGCCAATCGTAGTGGCCCCCGTGCAGGTCGAACTCCTCGTGGACCAGCTCGCCCACTACTGCAGGTCGGCTGCACTCCCCCGTACACCCGACCACAAAGTCAGCTCCGCCCAAGCGAGGACAGGGCCTTCCACAACTCCCGTTGACACTCCCGCCACTCCATCTCCTCCTCTTCCTGCTCCCTCCACCGTCCCTGACCCGCCACCACCCACTTCCCCCTCCAGCACCACGCAGTTTCCTCCGCTCCTTCCCTCCCCCTCCCCTCCCCCACCGGCTCCCCCTCTTTCCTCTCCTCCTGCTCCTGCTCCCGCTCCTCCTTCCGAGTCTCCTCCTCTCGAAACCTACCACCGCCGTCCTCCGGCCCCTGCTCCTCCTGTTCCTGCCCCAGCTCCTGATGCTCTTGCTCCCACTACCACCTCAGATACCGATACTACTCCTCCAGCTCCGCCTCCCTCCCCCATCGCTTCTCGCACACGCTCTCATACAACCCCAAAGCAACTCTCCCTTTCCGTTCGCATCTCCCTCAATCCTCCTGTCGAGGGTGATTATTCTCTCATGCCCTCCCTCCTTGAAGACAAGCATGAGGAGTTGATTGATATTGACTCAGCCATCCACGCGCCTTGCTTCCTCTTTCCAGATATCGTAGACTCTCCCACCCTCAAGTTCTCCGACAACCCCTCCATCCCCACACCTCTCACCTATGCTGAAACAGTCTCTGGTCTTCACGCCGCCCAGTGGTTGGGGGCCATTGTCGCGGAATGTGAGGCCTTCATTCACACAGGAACTTTCACAGGTGTCAACATTGTGAAGGAAAATGGGTTTTTCGGGTAAAACAACTTCCAGGCGAAATTCCTGTCTTCAAAGCCTGGTACTGTGCCAAGGGATTTACCCAAAAGCATGGACTGGACTTCTTTGAGACATTCTCTCCCAACGCCAAACCTCCCACACTTCGCACCCTTCTCGATGTTGCTGCTCGATATGGCAAGGTTGACTGCATGGATGTGTCTTCTGCGTTTCTGCAAGGGATCCTTCGAGAGGAAATCTATATGGAGCGGCCCAAAGGATTTCCACCTCCTTTTCCACCAGGCACTGTATGGAAGCTGAATCGGCCAATGTATGTCATCGAGCAAGCACCCCGGGAATGGCACAACAAGCTCAAGAGCACCTTAGGGTCCCTTGACTTCCACCCATCCACCTCTGACCCCAGCCTCTTCATCCGAGCAGCACCATCCCGCTTCTTGATCCTGGTTTATGTCGATGACACCATCCTTGTCACCAAGGATCCAGACTGAGTTGGCAGCAGTCAAAACCGCACATGGTGAGGAGCTGGCCATGAAGGATCTTGGGAAGCTGACGAACTATCTGGGCATGGAAATCACACGTGATCACGCGGCCCGCACCATCACCCTCTCGCGGAAGTTTTACATCAACAACGTTCTGACGAGGTTCAAGATGCAGGAAGCAGCATCAATGCCTACCCCACTCTCTCTGCAGCACCAACTCACTACACCCTCTGTTCCCTCACCCGAGCCCTGTGATGAGCCTTACCCCGACTCGTTGGATCCCTCATGTACGCGATGATGTGCACCCGACCAGACTTGGCCTATCCAGACAGTGTACTGTCTCGCTACGTTGCACCTGGTCGCTTCACTCGCCACCACTGGTCTGCCGCCAAGCGGGTTCTTCGCTATCTCAAAGGCACACAGGATTATGTGCTCACACTTGGTGGCTCTTCCCCTGTTCGCCTTGAGGGGTACAGTGACTCATCCTATGCTGATGGACAGAGTGATCGGTGCTCTTCCCAAGGGTATTGCTTTACCCTTAGCAGTGGGGTTGTAAGTTGGCACTCCACTCGGTCGTCCTCAGTCTCACTGTCGAACTGTGAGGCAGAGCTGTATGCCGGGGCCATGGCTGCCCAGGAGGCTCGTTGGCTCTCCTTCCAGCTGACAAAACTGGGGTATCCTCAACCAAGCCCAACACTTTGGTGTGACAACGAGAGCACCATTCATCTCACCAAGAACCCCGTTTTCCACAGCCGCACCAAGCACATTGAAGTCCGTCACTACTTTCTTCGTGAGATGGTGCAGCATGAGCAGCTGAAGGCTGAACACATTGCCTTCGACTGCAACCTTGCTGACTTGTTGACCAAGTCACTTGTTCGCCAGGGCCATTACCGCCTCCTCTCGTCCATGGGTGTTGGGCCTCCCTGTGGCTCATATGTTGCAGCCTAGGGGGTGTGTTAAAAATAGGCTGTCAACACTTTGTGTACTATATTCTATATCTTGTAGATTATTTGTAGGTTGGGTGTAGATTGTGATCCCAACCCTATCTGGTTGGGATTCCCTCATAATCCAGCAAATCTGCCAACTCACCATTGGAGATTTGATAGTATTCCCATCTCATCCTTTCCCTAGCTTTGCTCAACCCAACCTTGTTTGTACTTAAGGCCTAGTGCCTTCTCTACTAATCAATCACTTCAGCTCCATTTCTGTCAAGGGGCACAAGGGGAGAAAGGGCGTTGTGCGCGTGAGAGAGGGGCAGGCTCAACAGGAAATGCTGGAGCCTCGAGGAGCCAAAGAAGCAAAGGAACAGACAGACCATTTAGAAGATTGACTGGTGAGTGGCTTCATGTAGGCACCAGCGGACAGTGCTGGTTCGAGCAGCACGTGGCAGGCTGGCTGGATTACCAGTCAGTCACGATTGAGTTAAAAGATAGTTGGTGAGATGAGATGGTATCGCATGAGGTCACAAAGAGGTTTTTTAAAGCTTTGAGACGTCCCAAAACTCCATCATTATCACGCGGAATAATAAAGTCTCAAAACGTTTCTTAATGTTTTGAGTCTTTTCTACGGCTGAAGTTGGTGAGACGGTCATGGCCATAAAGTGATTTCTTAGTCCTGGTGAAACTCTGACAACGAGCGAACGCTGGTGAGATGAGTTACATACAGGATTGGCTAGACTATCAGTTTGGAACGATTGTTGAGAGTGATGGTTACAACTGTAAAGGCTGGTGTGATGGTTACAAATGGTAAGTCGGTTACAGTTCAACAAGGTTGGTAATTTTGTTACAGTTCAACAAGGTTGGTAATTGTGTTACAGTTCAACAAGGTTGGTGAGTTCCCCCAGAGAGATTGGAAGTGTGCTCGAGAGATTGTTGTCACTCAAATGGCTGGAAGGGGGGAATTGATGGGGTGGCAATGGGGGTGGATACAGGATAGTATTGGGTGTAGGAAAGAGGAATTGCAGGGGATGAGGGAGAGAGGCATGGAGGGGAAGAGTAGTTTTGAGGCGCTTCAAAACTAGAAACGGTAGGGGATGAGGGAGAGAGGCATGGATGGGAACAGCTCGATTCTAGAATCTTGAGGCGTCGCAAAACTCAATGGATGAGAATGAATGAGGGAGTGACATTTGAAGGGAAAGAACTCGATCCTAGCAAAGCCAGAAGAAAACTTTTAGGGGGGAAAAATGAGGCGGATGTACTCGATTTGTCTTGATGGTTGCAACTTGTAACTATCAACTCCTCATCTCAACCCTACGTCTCTCAAAACTATGTGTCGCAAAACCCTGGAGACCTCCCTTCCCTTGCCCCAACATTCAGACGCACAAGTACTGAGTAACTGCAGGCTCCTCATGTTACTTGTGACTCCCTTCCATTGAGTCACAAGTACTGAGTAACTGCAGGCTCCTCATGTTACTTGTGACTCCCTTCCATTGAGTCACAAGTACTGAGTAACTGCAGGCTCCTCATGTTACTTGTGACTCCCTTCCATTGAGTCACAATACTGAGTAGCTGCAGGCTCCTCACGTGGTCCACAATTTTGTCATTCTAGTTGACCGAACCATTCAATATGTAGGCTCACTCACGAATACTGCAGAAGATTCACAAGTACTGCAAACACTCACAAGTGCTGCACACTCACAAGTGCTGCACACACTCACAAGTGCTGCACACACACTCACAAGCACTGTACACACTCACAAGTACTGCATACTCACAAGTACTGCACACACTCACAAGTACTGCACACTCACAAGTACTGCACACTCACAAGTACTGAAGGCTCTTCATGTGCCCCCACGATTCGGGAATGGGCCCTGACAGACCCATGTCCGTTAGATGGCTGTGAGGGGGGCGAGCATGAGAGAGAGAAGGGGGGCAGGCGATGGGCAATGAGAAAGAGGGATGGGGCTCGACAGACACGCGTCCATCAGATAGCTGGAAGGGGGACGAGGGGCAGTAATAAAAATCAAGAATCGTGGTCCGCTTGAATGAATTTGGTGTCCTGTTGGCCAGTGATGGTGACACAGAGAGGGAGCGTAGTTACTTCTTAAGAGAGAAAGGAAGGGGAAGGGGAAGGAGAAGAGAGAGAAGGAGAAAGAGGTGCAGGGTGGCTGCATGGTTCTCTTGAATTTGGTGTGCAGTTCGCCCAGTGGTGGTGACACAGAGAGGGAGAGTAGTTACTTTTTGAGCAAAAAATGAAGGGGAAGGGTAAGGGAAAGGCAGGAGCAAAGAGGAGAGAAGAGGGGAGAGGGGAAGGGGAACGAAGAGTATGACAGAGGTGTGATGGTTCGTTGATACTTTGAGGCTTAAACAACTGCACAGAACAACGGATTCAAAGAAGCAACAAAAGCCATACTCAGCAGGGTGGGGAGGTATGCAGGTGAAAGAGGCGTACAGGTGGGTGAGGAGGCGTACAGGTGGGTGAGGAGGCGTACAGGTGGGTGAGGAGGCGTACAGGTGGGTGAGGAGGCATACAGGTGGGTGAGGAGGCGTACAGGTGGGTGAGGAGGCGTACAGGTGGGTGAGGAGGCGTACAGATGGGTGAGGAGGCGTACAGGTGGGTGAGGTTCTTGAGTTGTGAGAAGGACTCCGGCAGCGACCCACCCATGGGGTTGGAGTAAAGCTTTCTGTGGGAGAGAGGAGTCAGACCAATAGGTAGACAAGGAGGCAGGTGGATGAATCGGCCGATGTAGAGAAGAGATGAATGAAAGTCAAGACGAGATCGGCCAATGGATGAATGAAACTGCCTTGAGAGATGAAACATGGAATGTGAGATTGAGCGTTCAAGCGCCTTGGTTGAGCGTGGAGTTTAGAAGGACCAGAATCGGATCAACCTGAGTGTAGTCCCGAGAATGCCAATAAAAAATGTTCAGGGTAAGAGCTTGATGGTGCGAGCTACAAGGGCGGCCAAACCTCTTGATGGTTGAAGAGGTCGGGGTACCAAAACGTGGCATGTCTCTTGAGACGTCTCAAAAGGTATGTCCAAAACTTGACCAATTACTTCAGAACATCATAGAGGTGAGCTGAATAACCGACATCATGTGGTGGGATTGGTCAGCTGGTGGTGGGTGAGAGACACTAATAGAAGCAGTCACACTTGCTAGAAGTAGGAGATTGCATAGGGACTCATACTTTCTGGTACACTAGTGCTAGAAAAGTAGCATAGAACTGATTGATTAAGGAAGAGAGAGGCTGACCTTTACAAACAAGGCCCTTGAGATGAGATAAGCAAGGGAAAGGATGGGGCTGGGATTGACTAGTGCTAGAAAGGATGGGGCTGGGATTGACTAGTGCTAGAAAGGATGGGGCTGGGATTGACTAGTGCTAGAAAGGATGGGGCTGGGATTGACTAGTGCTAGAAAGGATGGGGCTGGGATTGACTAGTGCTAGAAAGGATGGGGCTGGGATTGACTAGTGCTAGAAAGGATGGGGCTGGGATTGACTAGTGCTAGAAAGGATGGGGCTGGGATTGACTAGTGCTAGAAAGGATGGGGCTGGGATTGACTAGTGCTAGAAAGGATGGGGCTGGGATTGACTAGTGCTAGAAAGGATGGGGCTGGGATTGACTAGTGCTAGAAAGGATGGGGCTGGGATTGACTAGTGCTAGAAAGGATGGGGCTGGGATTGACTAGTGCTAGAAAGGATGGGGCTGGGATTGACTAGTGCTAGAAAGGATGGGGCTGGGATTGACTAGTGCTAGAAAGGATGGGGCTGGGATTGACTAGTGCTAGAAAGGATGGGGCTGGGATTGACTAGTGCTAGAAAGGATGGGGCTGGGATTCCAGCCAGATCTCCAATGTTGAGTTGGCAGATTTGTCGGGCTACTAAGGAAATCTCATCCAGATACGGTTGAAATAAACACCCAATCTACAAATAACTTGCGTGATATTATATACAGTACACACATGTTGACAGACTAATTCTAACACTAGGCACCACACTCACACACAGTGGCACCACACTCACACACAGTGGCAGCGCACTCACACACAGTGGCACCACACTCACACACAGTGGCACCACACTCACACACAGTGGCACCACACTCACACACAGTGGCACCACACTCACACACAGTGGCAGCACACTCACACACAGTGGCAGCACACTCACACACAGTGGCAGCACACTCACACACAGTGGCAGCACACTCACACACAGTGGCAGCACACTCACACACAGTGGCAGCACACTCACACACAGTGGCACCACACTCACACACAGTGGCACCACACTCACAGCTGCTGCAGCCTGGTCATGCTGCCAAAGAAGGACGGCAGAGGGCCCGAGAAGGAGTTGTTGTTGGCGATTCTGCCATCCATGCGGTGAAGTGAAGGGGAGGTGCGAGGGGGAGGTGGGAGAGGGGAGGTGGTAGAGGGGAGGTGCAGGAGCGGGGATGGTTAAAGGAGAAAGAAGAATATGGGATAGGAACAAGCAAGAACGGACACTTGCGAGCTTTCTCGGAACTACTCAAATAGCTTCTGATAGCTTCTGAGGCACTGTTTGAGCAGACTACTATACTCTAGGATTCAGGTCTAATGAAGAAAAACAATGGCACCACAATACCACCTTTTAGGCACGTAAAAATCAGCAGCAACCAGTGGGCAGAGGAATGGCATGGAGCGGAGTAAAGCGCATTGGTGACGGACAAGAGCAGACAGGCAGATGCCTGCTGCATGAGGAAGTGGAAGGAAGGGAGAGATGACTGGCAAGAGGGAATGCAAAGGGATGTGTGGCAAGAGGGAGTGGAGAGGGATGTGTGGCGATGAAAGGGATGTGTGAGAAAAGGCACAGGAAGGAAGGGAGGGAGGACTGACAAGAGGCTGAGTTTGGTGAGTGCTGAGAAGTTTGCCGGCAGGGAGTTGGAGAATCCGTTGCGCTCCAGTCGACTGGTGGATGCACACAGCAGGAGATCACGGTCCACCCCCCAACACGCACGCACACCATTCTCTACCACTCTCGACCGTAACCGACCACACCACACACAGACAGACACACACAGGTGCAGAACACCAAGTAGACACAGAAACGAACACACACAACCATGCATGCACAAGCCCACACGGCCATAGACGAGAAGAGGGGTGTTGACATGAGATGAGGAGTGCTGTTGAGAGGACCCACAACTGATTCACATTTCATCCGTCTGCGGCCTCTGTTGGTCTAGGCGCCAATTTGTCGTAAACCTTTCCCTTCAGTTGGTCCTAGCTTGAAATCACTTTTGAGAACTCTCAGAAGTGATTTTTCCGTCTCCGGCCTCTGTAGACCTCAAGTTGAGTTGAGACCAAGCGTCACCCACCCACGGCACGGGTAAGTCAAAAGTTCATCTAACCTCATTCCACACCGACTTGAAATGGTTTCTTGTTGTCTTGCCCAACTGGTATTCGCCAGCTGTGTCTCTCTGTGTGAAAATGAGTATTATACAGCAACAACACTATGGGTGTTCACTCTACAGTTGACTGCTACTAAGCTTGGGAGCGGTTTAATGCCAAGACGACTGTGACTCATGCTGGCATCATTCAATTCTTCTTAGCCCTAGTATGTTACTAGTTCAGCGCTTCCCTGCCTCCTTGCCTCTCTTCATACCTCCCTCCCTCCTGCCCTCCCCCTCATCACTCTCCCAGCAACGCACAGGGTGTGAAGGTGCTTGAGGCTTGTGATCGACGCGGGCAGCATGCCATAGAGCCTGTTGCCACCCACATTGCTGCACACGCACATGCACACGCACATGGAGATGGAGGGCAGGAAAGGGAGGGAGAGGGCTTTTTACTTGACTCAGCGACTGCCAGCTAGGCTGCTGCCGCCCACGTTGCTGCACATGCACATGGGGGATAAGACGGGGAGGGAGGGGATTTTTCAGTCTGCTCAATCACTGCCAGTAAGGCTGCTGCCGCCCACGTTGCTTCACGCACACACGGGCAGGGCAGGGTGGGGTGTTGCTGCTGGGTCAGGGCAGGGCAGGGTGGGGTGGGGTGCTGCTGCTGGGTAATCTCGGAGCCAAAGGAAGGAGTAGCGCTGTTTGAGAAGTGCTGTGTGATTGTAACGAGTAGGGGCTGCTTGGGGTGGGGGTGGAGTGGAGTGAGTGAGGCTGCATGAGTGGGAACCCATTGCTGCGAAGGCTGTTGGTTCACTGGGGAAAGGAGGGGACGGACTCGGGTGCTTGGAGGAGTGAGTCAAGAGGGGAAGGAAGAACAAGGGAGGACAGACAAACGTGGAGAGGTGACTATTGAATCGACTCAGAAGTGACCTTAATGATTGTTGCTAGGCTGGGGAGGGGAGGAGACAGACGAGTGCGAAAAGAGGAGGGAGTGAAGAGCAGCAGGCAGAACGAGGAAAGCAGGCATGAAAGGGACACAGTGAAAAGAAGTGGGCAGTTTTAGAGCAACAACCATGTCATGCGCCACACGGGGCGTATCATGTCCTTCACGGGGCGTATCATGTCCCTCACGGGGCGTATCATGTCCTTCACGGGGCGTATCATGTC